AGCAGCAGAACTTGGAAGCTTTGGCCGAGTGGTTATGGCTTTAGAGTCAGGGATACATGAAAAGGGCTGTGGGATATCACATCCTTGGCTAAAAATCTCTGTAGAGGCCAGATATGTGACAGAGGTGTCTCTGGATGGAAATTCAAAGAGGGCATTTTGTGAAGCTGTAAGGTGAAGTCTAGATTGCCTTGGAAAACCCAAGATGTTGGAGATGCCAGAGTCGTGGGAAGCTGTCAATAGGGCATGGGACCAGCCCAAAAAGAAGTGTGTGTCCTCAATGAAGCTTAAAGAAGTTGGATACCTGAAAAGCACTTTGACATAAGAAATGGAGATGTATGTTTAGAGTGTGTCCTACTGGTTTTAGGTCTTTCTTTGGTCCAGTATTTCCTTGGTATGCCTTCTTTCTGCCATTTTGGAATGGTACTGTATATTCTATAATATTATATATTTGAAGCATGTGATCTGTTTTTTAAATTTAATTTACAGGGATTACAGTTAAGAGATTCCCTTAAGGTTCCAAGGAGATTTTGAATTTTAGAGTTTTAAAACAGTATTGGTACTGTGATAAACGATGGGGACTTTTGAATCTGGAATGAACGCACTTTTGTATTATGGTATGGCTAAAAGCCTCTGGGTACCAGAGAGTAGAATGTAATGGTTTGAATAAGAATGGCCCCCATAAGTTCATATATTTAAATGCTTGGTCACAAGAAAGCGGGACCAAGGATTATTGAAAGGATTGAAATGATTATCAGGTTGGCTTTGTTGGGGAAGGTGTGGCCTTCTTGGAGAAAATATGTCTGTAGGGTGGGGTTTTGAAGGTTGGAAGCATGAGTCAAGCTCAAAAAGAAAGTCAAGAGACTTTCTTTCTCTTCCTGATGCCTATTGCACAGCATGTAGAACACTTAGCTGCCACATCTGCCTGCAAGGCACCCAGCTGCCTCCCATGAGAATGATGGACTAAACCTCGGAAACTGTAAGAAAGCTTCAATTAAATGTTTACCTTTATAAGAGTTGCTGCGGCCATGATGCCTCTTCACATCCAGAGAACATTGACTAAGGCACAGAGCCAGGGTCAAAAACCAAGGTGAAAAAATTCCTCCTTGAGGTTATACACTAGTTCTCACATTTTAAAGTTTTCTATCACATTTTTATAACACTACTGGCTGTGGCCAAGTGTTTCATACAGAGTTCTTGGGAAACACTCCAGATCAAAACTATGGCAAGAATGGAGCTGTCTTCATAAAGATAACAATACCTACAATTTGCCAGGATATCCCCTTAAACATTCTGATCTTATAAGATGTATCACTGGCCACACAGAGGGAAAAACAAAGTGTGGGAGAAGAGGGCAGGTCTGTACTGAACTACTGTGGAAGCAAGAGTTTTATATAACCTACCAAACACCCATAAAGAAATTGACCCTGTCTATTTTCTATTTTGGTCAGTTGATAGACGTTTAATGAGAACAAATTCTTAAGAAGTTTTGAAAAGATTCTATAAGCCAGCATTATCATTGATTCAATATACCCATCATCTAATGTATCTACATATTTCAAAAAAATCATTATCTTAAGGCAAAATGAAGGAGATGAAAATTGATGATACAAATATTCTAATATAACTTCCTTAACTGTTTTAAACAAGCAAAACAAATAAATAAGACAACTAGTCTCCTTTATATAGAGAAGACTGAGGCCAAGGCTTGCAGAATGTTTAATGCAGAGTTTGTGTATATGAAGGATAATATACTTTCCATTGGATAACGGGACACTACATACCATCTGCCTCGTGTAGCAATAGTGTTTTGCCATGGCCACTTCTCTTTTCCATGTGGAACCACTATACCATCCATATTCTCTGGAAACACTTCCCTGCATCACCCTAAATACAGTCTTTCATTTCAATTTGCCAGTTTCTTTTCAAGTTATGACGTGATATCATTTTATCAACAACGGTGCTTAATATTTTAAAACAATTATTTACCTATAGATTTTTTTGTAAAGTCTGTAATGCCTTATACATACAATACATGGGAATGACCAGTTTATACACAGATTCCATGGAAATAAATCTTGTATATGGTGCTTGCTAGAAAAAGAGATCATCATTTCTGATTCTGAATGTTGATCTTCTGTACAAAAAGAAGATGGCCACAGTTTAGATGGACTGTGTTCTATATTAGAGTTTTAACTCCAAATATATTAAATATATGTGTACAATATAATAGCATTTCTGCCAAATAAGACATATTCAAGACTTTGAAGTAAAATCAGTTTCATATAAAATGTCTACTATATGTTTGGGTTATATAACATTAGAAAAAATAATGCATAAGATAGCTAAGGAAATAAGAAATGTTTATCATTAAAATTGATTTATTTAAATATTTTTAACCATTTTTCCAGGAAGTATAGAAAAGATACATTTTTCTCCCTCTAACCTCAAGCTATATAAAGTTTATCTGGAAAATACAAAACAGAAACAGAAATGTTATCATGTTTCACATGAGCCCTTAAGAAACATCCTTCCTTTAAATAAATTTCCCTGAGTTGGATTTAATTATGTTTAGAGTAGTGAACTTAGGTACAAAAGCATGAATGCAAATTAAATTACTGTCTAGACAAAAGCATCATAATATTTCCCCTTACAGCTGTATCCTGCTTTTAATGTTTTCACAAAAAGATTCACCTAAATCAAATTTCTGATAATCAATCACACTGTAAATGCACTGAGTGAATTTGTTATTCAAAGGACTATCCCAGAGTGAATTGCAAAAATAATAATCCTTGGTGACATCGCAATCTCTAACTGCCTTCACTGTTGTATAAATCTGTCTCCACATTCAACAAATCTACCTATAAAGAAATATCTTCTCAGAAATGTTGAAAGGTCTGCTGATATCATCAGGGTGTTGTTAACCCAGTCCTACTCACACCATCATTGCATGTTAGTGAAGTTACTAGAACTGTGTTAAATACCCTAGATAATCAAATTAACAACAGAAAAGGTTCAGTTTGCCTTATCCTTCAGAGTTCCTAGTCTATGCTCCATAAACCCTTTAATTTTGTCTCTGGCAGGATGAATATCAACGACAGGTGTGTACGATGTAGCAAAACTTTCTACAAAGTGGTTTGGATGCAAGTAGGGGAAATGGGATGGGGGTGGAGATCACTGTTCTCAAGTATATGCATTCGATGATGAGAAGAATTCCACTAGGCTCCACTTTCTAAACTTTCCATTACTGTCCAATTACATCAAGTCAGTAACTAAAGCCTTATTCAAATATTACTCTTTGGGAGATACCCCAAGCCCAAACTGCACTGTTCCTTTTAACTTTATGGAGCCCAGGAGGAACACAGATCAAGATGAATAAGTTAGGTTTCTAACTCACAGCTGTTAAGAGAACACTAGAAGGGACATGTTGCAAACTTAAGAGTTATGTGACATTAGGGACAGTTTCAGGAAGCAAAACCTTGTTATTGAACATTCTCAGGAAGTTTGAATAATTCTATGATTTTAGTTTTTTTAGGGGGAGGGGTATTTTTCTAGTTTCAAGTGATTTTAATTTTTCTTTGATTTTATGAGTATAGGTGTTTGTCTGAATGAATATCTATGCACCACATGTGTTCAGTACCCCAGCAAGTCATAAGAGGGCAATGGATCCAGTGGAATTGAGCTATAAAGCTGCGATGTGGCTACTAGCAACTGAAACCCATATCCGCTACAAGGGCAGCAAGTGCTCTTAACCACCTCGGAGACATCACTCTCATCATCTAAAGACTAGATGGCTAGACCCTAAAGCTGTGATGGGTAGGGAGCAGCAGGTATTCACAAGGGCTAGGAAAGGGAAGTGACTGTCAGCTTGAACAGTATTATGTGTAGTGATGGTGTGGTTAGGCTAGTGTCATACTTTGCCTTGAGCTCACAGGAGAACATGCTATGAAAATGTTCAAGTAGACAATGGGAAAATTATGTCCTGACAGAGACCATAACAAGCAGAAAGAATGCCAAGTTCTTGCTCAGGGGTGGGGGGTAGAAAGTCACACCAGGACAGCTGCTGAATGCCTGAGGCAAACTTTCTCTTTCTCGCATTAAATGTGTCAGATTTTCAAGTTAGCATTTCACAAAAACACTTTGCTGCAATTAAGGCTGTAGAAAATAAGAAAAAAATGCATATTATCATATCTATTTTATGTATTCATTTATTTATTTACAGGTATGCTCATATGTATCTCTTAAAGATCCAGAACTTACACAGATCCATCTGCCTCTGCCTCCAAACAAAAACATATTGTTAATTTTAAACCACAACATTTGCAAGTCTGTATGTTCAGCTTATTTGAGCAAAACTTGCAGTATGACCTGCACTGTTTTTATGCACTGATGTGGTGCATTTTCATCCATCTTCTTCTTGAATATATCATTAGTTCCTAATTCCTCATTTTCTAAGACATCCTTACTTCACAAGTACATCACCTAGCTTACACAGACTTCAATTTCTAAGATGGAAGTGGTGAATTACTGTCAATCTAATTGTAAATCCCTTAATCACAAGGAACTTTAATTCAGAAATCATCAAAAAGTATGTATGCTTATTTCTTGCAAGATATAGCTTTTGTGGCATTTTAAAAACTTAATTTCACAACAAGAAATACCATGTTATTTATTATTTAGTGCTTGTTAATATTGTTGAGTACCATGTTATATGTCCTCTGATAACCCCTGATAAAAGCTCTGAATCGATCTCTCCACTCCACCTTTGGTGATCAACATTGTATTTCCGAGATACTTTGTGTAGCTTGAAGTCACAAGAGATGCAAAAAGAGTATAATTTAACACAGATAATTTTCTGAGTCTAATTCCAGAAGCAATATAAAATTCAGGATTATAAATCTTGGTGAACTTACAAAACTCTAATACATCATTCATTTTTTTTGTATTTCTCAAAAATTGTTTTATAGCCTTTTGGATAAAATTTACTTGCCAGGAACTATAATAAAAATAATGAATGTTTCACAAGCATAATTGTTGTCTCTGTACAGGAGTCCTGCTATTCTTCTCTGGGTCATTGAAAATACAATATATGTGCTGTCGAAGCAAGCATTTTTATTCCTAGATTCTAATATTTTACTTTTTATATGCAAAACTATATATTACAGACACCATAAGCTGCAAAGTGTTTAGAGAAAAGAAAAAGTATGTTTGAAGGCCTTCATTTCAGTGTCTTTCTATGCCGAAAGTAAGAAAGATTGTGAAAGGTTTCTATGTCTCAGAATTCTCCACATCAAAATTCAAACCTGCCATTCCAATGCAGAGATAAAGTCTATTAATCAGAGCAAAAGGATATTTGAGATGGAGGACATAGCTGATGAATTACTATATCCAAAACCAATGTAGAAAACAAAAATAAGATAAAATTACAACAGCCAAGAACTTGGAAAATGACTAAGATAACCAGCCTAACAATGTGTGGGATGTGAAAGGAAATTGGAATAAATACTAGAGACATAGACATTTTATTCAATAAAATTACCTCATAAATTTTCCTAAATTTAAAGGAAAAAAATAGAAACTCACACTTAAGAATCATTTAGAACCTCAAATAATTATAAATACACAAGACTCTCTCTATAATACATTATGGTAAAGATGTCAAATCATAAAGCAATTAATAGTAAAATCTGTAAGGTCAAAATTCCAATTCACCTGCAAAGGTAGAAATATCAAAATAGTATCAGACCTATCATCAATAACTATCACACTCAAAAAAAGGAAGTCTCAATCACAAAGCAAAGTGATAAAATTCAATCAGAGAACTAGCTGAACAAAAGGCAGGGAGGAATCTAATATATTCAAATCATTAAATATAGGGGCCCAAAGATGTAAGCCTCTTCCACCTTGACTAAAGGTCAGAGAGTTTGAGCTTATTTTTGCTCTTTCAAAGTTGTTGACAATGGGTGAGTCTAAAAACAAGAGATACTTACCTAGGGTGTGGTTAATTAGTATTTTGGATATGGGGTGGATCTGCTCCACCTGGACCAAAGGTCATAAAATTCAAGTCTATTCCTGATATCATCTTAATGGAGTCTCTTGCCTCCCATCTCCCCTTTTGGAGAGAAGTATATGCTTGTGTGGAAGAGTAAATGCAGATGGTTCAATATTCACTGACTATCCCTCCTGGTGCTGTGCTTTATTTCTGCCTTTTATTTTTCTCAATCTCTGTTCTTTTTGCTTAATAATTCTAGTCTTCATGCTACTACCCTGGAACATGTGAATTTCTTCCAAGCTAGACCCCAACAGATGTCACCCCAATGTATGTCTTACAACAATTAAACCACAGAACACCTGAAACTGATAGAGAAGAAAGATAAAAAATAAATATTAAAAATAAAAAACTTACTACAACCATCTCAAAAAATAACCAACAAAAATTTTAGAACTCAGTAAGCATCTCTCAATAACAACCCTAACACAAATGGTCTCAGTCCTCCACTCAAAGACACAGGTTGGCTGGATGCATTAGAAAATACTTTAGACTTTCTTTTATGTTCAAGAACATACTTTATTGACAAATACATCCACAGACAACACATAGAAAACAAGAGAAAGAAAATGGAAAACACATTGGGGTAATATTTAACAATGATAATGAGATATTTCAACACCTGAATCTAATCTGTACCTAAGTCATCCAAATTAAAAATCAACAAAGAAATCTCTAAACCTTGTATCACTTTCTAGAGTTTGCACACCTTCCCATTAGAGTAATATTTATGTTGGTGAGCTCTATGTAATCTCTCCCAACTTAATCTCCCTAATATTTTACTTTGTCTGTTGTCTTAAAGTCATCTAGTAAGACAGTCATTGACACAATTGATATAGGTGGGTCTTCTATCTATCTGTTGCTTTCATTGGTTATTTAATAAAGAAAACTGATTGGCCTAATAGGTCAGAACATAGGTAGGCAGGGAAGACAGAACAGAATTCTGGGAGAAAGAAAGCAGTGAGGCACACGCCATGGAGCCAGCTGCCAGGTCAGACATGCTGAATATTTCCTGGTAAACCACCACCTCATGGTGCTACACAGATTGTTAGAAATGGGTTAACCAAGATGTGAGAGTTAGCCAATAAGAGGCTAGTAATAATGGGCCAGGCAGTTTTTAAATGAATACAGTTTGTGTCTTGTTATTTCTGGGCATATGCTAGCCAGGTGGCCAGAAGCTGGGTGGCAGGAAAGCAGCCCATTGTTCCTTCTAAAAGCAGGCCTGCTCGCCTTATCACTACACACAATCCTTTACAAAAATGCATATAACTCTATGATTTCATAGAATTATTCAAGAACATTAAATAAATACATTAAGAGACACTTCCCACCAAATCTTATGAGAAAACCCAACAATTTGGAACTTTAGATTTCTCTACAGAAGCAGCAAATTTTGGATATTTTAATAATTTCTTGTTTAGTTTCAGTTAATATGGCTTAAACATCACCAAGTCATTAAAGTTAATATTTCTCCATTATTTCTGTTTTTAAAAACACTAGGCTGTCTAGACTGACCTTGAATTCTCAGCACTCCTGTCACAATTTTGTAAGTACATAAATGACATACATGTACTAGCATGCTCAGCTATCCTCCAATACTTTTTACATTCGGTCTAGGTAGGCTTCATCACATAAGGATTCTAAATTTGTCGACTGTGTTTGCTGAATCTAGTTACCTTGTGCATTTACAGGGTTAGGATTTTGTGGCGGACTTTTCGACTGGCGAGAAAGAACAACCACCGCACCAGGATTCCACTCAGATCACGCTTTACTGGAGTGCCCCTGATTGATGGGGAGCAGGAAACGAAGGGGACAGGAAATGAGGGGCAGGAAGGGAAGGGCAGGGAGAGCATGAAGCGAAGGGGCAGGGAGCGAAGGGGCAGGGAGCTAAAGGGAGAGACAGCATGAAGCGAAGGGGCGAAGGGCACTTAGGCAGCTGCTTAAATAGGGAATTGGCACACAGGTAGCCCTGTGGTTGGCTGCCACCAACAGCTGACACCAGACTGCATCGGGATAGGCTCAAGGATCCTCATTCACTGCACATGCGGGAAGCGGGGAACACACAGCTCTCAAAGGCATAGCCAAAGATGGAGTTGTTTATTACCAACAAGACAGGATGTTGGCACCATCTTGTAATGGCGATCCTGTCCGGCTCACTACAGGATTTATCATATAAACCATAACTACTCTGATGTCTAGATGAGTAAACAGAAATAAATGGCTAAAACACATCGTTATTATCACCAAAACAGCAGTTTAGTTATTTACTCAGTGACTTCTGTTTCAACAGAAATGTCTACCAATGAACTTTGAGATTTTCAAAGCACAGACTATTTTGTTTACTATTTTTAAAAATTTCTTACTTCTTGGTAGAGAAATTTTAGTGAGTACACTACATTTTAACATCTTGAAGGTTATCTCATTCATTAAAACACCATAGAGATTAATTAACACACTGTTGATAATCTTACATATGATTCGTGTATTCACATTGTAAAAGCAATTTAGTGTATCCCACATTAACAATGAACACGGGTAATTTGGTAGAAGAAAGTAGAGTCAAATGGGTAATCCTTCTATAGTAAGACTCCACTTAAACACAGCCCCTCACTTAAACACAGAAGGAAAATAAAATCAGAGGAGAAAGATATCTTTCTTAAAATCACAGATGCTACTATGAAATTGATTAAATGGAAAATTTAGAACTGTGAAACAAGATAGAAAAACAATGAAAGAAAAATTCAGTGAGAAAATTTTCTGTGTTATCTTCACTAAGGGCTATAAGGAAAGGTAGTGTTGTCTCACCAGTCAACTGAAGCCTACAACTGATTTTTAAACATCAACCATGATAAATACCAAGTAATTATGTCTTTTTAGTTAACTTTTGTAGAATAAGTGTTGTAAACAAGTTGTTGATTTAAGTAATTTTTATTTCTGTGTCTAAGTAAGTGTCATTTACATTGAAAAACCAAAAAAATAAATAAATAAATCTACAAGAAAGGAGCAGATTTGAAACTAATCCATGTATCATAATACCCAGACTAAACATTTTTATCTCTATTAATTATACTTAAATAATCAAGTAACTATAAATGCACATTAAATAATTTATTCTAAGAAAATGTATTCCTTGAGTTGCAATATTTATAAACAAATCAACTCTTTCTCTTCATTCTAAGAACATAGTAGTGGGAGTAGATGAAGATGGTGGCTGAGTAAGGGCTTTAGAGGCTGTCTTTTTTTTTTATTGAGCTTTACATTTTTCTCTGTTTCTCTCCCTGCCTCTCCCCTTCTCTTCAACCCTCCCACAAGGTCCACATCCTCCAAATTTACTCAGAAGATCTTGTCTTTTTTTACTCCCAATGTAGATTAGATCAATGTGTGTCTCTCTTAGTGTTTTCATTATTGTCTAAGTTCTCTGAATTTGTGTGTTGTGGGCTGGTTTTCTTTGCTTTATGTTTAAAAACCACTTATGAGTGAGTACATGTGATATTTGTCTTTCTGGGTCTGGTTTACCTCACTCAAAATGATGTTTTCTAGTTCCGCCCATTTGCCTGAAAAATTTAAGATGTCATATATATATATATATATATATATATATATATATATATTTAATACATTTATATAGAATATACATACACACCAGAACACACCCATTCTCTCTGTCCCTCTCTCTCTCCCCCCTTTCCCCCTCTCTTTCTCTCTCTCACAAACACACACACACACACACACACACACACACACACACTACCACGGAGAGAGAGAGAGAGCAGAGCATTCTCTGCAAATGAACAAAGCTAGAGGTATTACATTACTTGAATTCAAAACATACCACAAAACTTTTATAGCTTAAGCATCATAATACATATATTAAAAATAGATCTGCATCAATGGATTGAAATAGAGATTTCAAAGGCAAGCTTGATGATTGCCAGCTAAATGGTTTTGACACATTTCCTGCAAATATATGATGGAAAGCAAGTACTCCTTTCAACACTTAGTAGTGGGAAATTGAATGTATCCATACTGAAAAATAAAAGTAGATCTGTATATCTCAGCAG